TAACAACAACAACAACAACTGTGGTCATGTAGTCAGAAGGGACCATTCTCTGGAGAAGGATATCATGCTTGGTAAAGTGGAGGGTTAGCTAAAAAAGGTAAAGATATAGTGACACAGTGGCTACAGTGATGGGCTGAGGTATAGTAAGGATCATGAGGCTGGTGCAGGACTGGACAATGTTTTGTTCTGTTGTACACGGGGTCACTATGAGTTGGAGCTGATTTGATGGCACTTTACAACAACAATATCCCTCCCCTCCCAACTTATCACAGAGCTCTTGTCCCAAGCAGCATGTCCTGACCTGGAGCGAACTCTTCAAGGTATTGCCTGGGCTGGCTAAGGCGGCCAGGATGGCAGTGGTGGTGGTGCCGATGTTGGCACCTAGCGTGAGTGGATATGCCCTCTCAATGCTTATCACACCAATACCTGGGAAAAAACACAGACCGTAGCATCAGTCCCAGGGCATGATGGGAGATATCAATGGCAGCCAGAGGGAGAAGGCAAAAAAAAAAAAAAAAAAAGGTGGGAAACTCACCAATCAGTGGGGTCATGGCAGACGTGAACACGGAGCTGCTCTGCACGATGAAGGTCATTCCTGCTCCCACAAGAATGGCCAGGTAGCCAGTCAACCAGGCAAAGGGAAAGGGGAAATCTGGAAGACAGAAGAGGACCAGATCTCTCACAGCCTTCGAGGGAAGGCACAGGATGGAGGTTGTGATGGCACCCCCACAGGAGCCTGGGCCAGGGGCTGAGCTAGCAGGTGAGGTGGTCCAGATGCCTCCTCACCCCCAAGCCATAATCTGACATTGCAAAGTTTCATTCCCTGCTTCTTTTCATCCTGCATTTTCATGATGTGGATGTGGTGTTATGTGGTTGAAGGCAAAGATTCATCAGCAGTCAGAGGTTATAAATGCTGCATCCACTGAAATACCCTCTCACAAAGCACCCAGACCCAGAATGGAGGACAGAGTGCCTACCAGTATTGAGTGTCTTCTTGATGACATTAGCAACCTGCCCTTTGAGTACGGAGTTGAGAAGCTTGACAATCATGACTAGGCAGATGCAGAGGACAAGCAGGGAGGTTATCAGCAGGATGAGGCCAATGGCAAGATCGGGGAGGCTGAAATTCACAAAGATGTGCCGACCTGCAGAGAACACAGAAAGCCTTGTGTCGTGGCACAGTCCCCCATGGCCACATGGTGCTATAGAAGAATCTTGATCAAAAGAAGGAAACTGCAAAATAGAATTCAAGATTCTTATGGAACTCAGACTTTCTAGAGCCACAGAGGCTGGGTGTACCACAAAACATACTAGAAATAATCATTAATCCTTAAACCAAAAAATCCCTTGAAGTCTTCTTATAACCAAGCATTAGTTTAGCTTAAGTACTAAAGAAATGTCTGCCTTGAGGATTGTCCTCTTAACTATTTATATGGGCCTAAATTAATAGTGGGAGCTCTGGTAGCACTTGACTAACTGGAAGGCTGGAGGTTCAAACCCACCAGCCACTCCTCGGAAGGCAGTTTGGGCAATCTACCACGCTATGAGTTGGGTCAGACTTGACGCACACATAACAACAACAAATTAACAGCAGCTGGAAAGATTAGATAAGAAGCCTAGGGGGCAGTTAATTTATGTTAATGAGGGAGGAACAACTCAGAAAATGGTTGCACAATTTGAAGAAATGTAATCAATGTCACTGAATCATACACACAGAAATTGTTGAGTTGGTATATGTTGTGCTGTGTATCAACAACAACAGAAAATTAAATTAAAAAAAGAAGGATATCAACTCCCAGGAAACCACAGGCTCACTATGCCAACAGCACATTGCTTACCCTGGTAACATGAAAGAGAAACACTGTCCCAACAGCCAAACCTATCTTTAAGCAGAGAACCAAGTCCTTATTGAAATGTCTGTATGAATATGAAGAAGTGTCTGTACAGGCTTCTCTTTACAAAGAAAAGCATTAAAAAATTTACTTTATTGGAAGGCTAAGCTACTTTTCAAATAACTTAATGTTGTTAGGTCCTTAAAGTTACAAAGTTAGTCAGGGACAACTCCAGGCTTATCTCTAGATCTCCTAGTGTTTTTCACTCATGATATGGAGAATACTTTCAACAGAATGTTTGGGGTAGGATGAGAAAGTCAGAATAGGGGATATTGCTAATTTTAAAATCCTTGGTTTTTCAAAGTCTCCATGTGTCCATGGTAATTCCAGCAACCATGGTTATATTAATAGGTATATAGCACCACCAACAAGGTGATACAAGCTCCCTCGAGTCTCTGGGGGTAAATCACACCTGAAATATGTTTAATTCTGGGCACTATACCTTACAGAGGGAGCTCTGGTAGCGTAGTGCCTAAGGCACTTGTCTGCTAACCAGAAGGCTGGCGGTTCAAACCCACCAGCCACTCCTTGGAAGGAAGGTTGGGCAATCTACTTCCATAGTGAACCTGCCTCGGCAACCCAAAGAAGGTCAGCACACAACAACAACAACAACAACAACATACCTTAGAGAAGAAGGATATACAAATGGGTTTATAATCAGGCTCAAAGAAGTTCTTGAGGCTGTATGGTACAGACAGCAGGAGCTTTGGAGCCAACAGAAGCACCAGAGTCCAAGTTCCAGTTTTGCCCCTCCCTTTGGGACCTAACTCACCTTAGTCTCTCAGTGTTAGTGTCCATTCTATGAAAGCCCAGTATAGCATAGGTAGTCAGTGAAGCTTACTGATCTTCTTTCTTTACTTTACTGGACTCCACACAGATCAACACTTGTCAGCCTCCCAGACACCCTGTCCCAATGGCCAATGTCCTGTTGAATTCCACTCACATTTGGCGATATTCTCTTTGTAGGTCACGTTCTTTGTGGTCCAATATTGGGCACCATCCGTGAAACACAGGGAAGGGGAAGTGCAGTTCTCAGGCGAGGGAACAGTGACATTCATTTCAGTCTGGACAGCAAATATAAGAAATTGTATGATCCTCAACATTTGCTTTTGCTGAGGGGTGGCAGACAATAGGGGACCAGGAGGAAGACATACATGTCAGTGGGTGTAATGGCACAATGGCTTGATGGTACACACGTTTGTTATTTTTTCAAGGACTTGTTACTTCCATTTTTTTAAGGTGCTGATTTTTACAAGGTGGGACTTCTGAGCCTTTTTAAAATTTTCAAGGAAGCTTGCTGGGCTTCACCTGCTAATGTTGCTGCTCCATCTTTACTAGATAAGTTCTTGCAACAACTGAGGACACATCTACTTTTTTTGTTTCTTTTTTTCTCCAGACTTAGCACCTTATAAACAAGGATAAGCTATAACTCTGCTGCAAAGCAGGCTGAGCAAGTTTCCCTAACACAATAGGGGAAGGATGCTGTGGACCTTCAAGGGAGGGACACACAGGTCCCCTGGCAGAACCTTCCAGAACGGCAGGAAGATACCACTATCTGCCAGCAACTGCACGGCATGAGGATGAACTGTCTCCATGGGTGCAGGCACTATTCTTAGAAACTCACCACATTGGTAAAAGTTTTGCACCAAATCTTGACCAGACTCTTGTTTTGGGCTGACTCATCCTTCATTGCAATTTCATTGATGACTTTTTTGTCCAGCTGAGGAAGGCAATAGAAAGAAAATCAGCACTATCTCAGAAGTGCATCATGAAGAAAATGTAGGATGTTGCTGTTAGAAAAAAGATAAATGAGTGACAGTAAGGCCCAAGTTGATATCTTCTCCCCAAGGCAACATGAACAAAGCTTCCTCTCATTTCAGTAATATGGGGAGACCCTCGTAAGGTGTTGGTGGTTCAGTGGTAGAATTCTCGGCCTTCCAGGTGGGAGACCAGGGTGTGACTGCCAGTCAATTCACCTCATGCACAGCCGCCATCTGTCAGTGGAGGCTGGCGTGGTGCTATGATGCTGAACAGGTTTTAGCAGAGCTTCTGCACTAAGATCGGGAGGAAAGGCCTATTTTCTATTTTAAAAACTCAGCCAATAAAAATTCTGCAGATCACAATGGTCTGGCCCTGTTGTGCATGGGTCAGCATAAATCGGGGACCTATGCGGCTGCAGCTCTCAGCTGGTGACCAGAGGGAGGAGATGGCCCCTGGACGAGGGGAGGCAGTAACATTACTCTTTCGCTAGTAGTAGAGTAAGTGGGCCCTTTAAACTGTTAGTGCACTCAGTCGGAGGTTCTATTCCACCCAGAGGTCCTTCAGAGAAAGGCCTAACAATCAGCCATTGAGAACCCTAAGGAGCGGTTTTACTCTGACACACATGAGGCCACCATTAGTTGGAAATGTCTCAACATCAACTGTTTTGTTCCATTTGTTCTTTACTATCAGTGAGCCACTGGCACTGAGAATAGCAGTGGGAACATCATGGCACCAAAGTATCCCAGGTGTCCAGTGGAAAGTTCTTGAGTCTCTTAAGAATTTCTCCTTCCCTCAAAATGACACAGTATTGAGAAGTCAGGGAAACAAGAAAGGCCAATGACTTTGTCAGATGTTGTTAAAGGTCCACATTCCTTGGTTTGTTCCAGAGCTAGTCAGGAGCCGATGTTTACAGACCCATCCACCCTTCATGTCTGCCTGGCTTGTGGGGGTGGGCGCAGTTAGGTTCTTCTCTGAAGGAAGCTGGCATACCTGGATAATCAGCTTTGTGAAGGGATCTGTGATGACTTTCAGAAGTTCCGGGGCGTCTTCACCATTCTTGAAGTGGAAGGACTCCACCACAAGATTGGTCAGGACCTCCAGGTAATGTGTGGCGGCCTCCAGGGGCAAGAGCACAAACACGGAGAGCCAGTTGAAGAAGTCATGGACGGTGGCTCCTGCAAAAGCCCTACACAAGTCAACAGCCAGATTAGTCAGCAAGCAAATGGGCACAGCATTGGGAGGTCATTACTTGTAACATCTGCTATCATCTGCTAGGGATTCCATATCTGTATACATGTGTAAAATCTCATTTTTATTCCTACAATGGTCCCAAAGTGGGTGGTACTGATAACCCCATTCAAAAGTGGAGGAAACTGAAGGCTGGCAAGCAAAAGGAATGTGAAGACCACTGCATGAGCTCCAGACCCAGGACCTTTGTCACCACTCTTTAGGTTGACAGGGAGCTCTGTGGTGCTGTGGCTAAGGCATTAGGTTGCTAACTAAAAGGTTGGAGGTTCGAACCCATTATCCACTTTGCGGAAGCTAGACCAGGCGGTCTACTTCCGTAAAGATGTACAGCCTTGGAAACGCTACGAGGTGGCTATGAGTTGAATCCACTTCATGGCAATGTGTTTGGGAGCTCTGGTAGCACAGTGGCTAAAAAGCATTTGACTGCTAACCAGAAGGCTGGCGGTTCAAACCCACCAGCCACTCCTCGGAAGGAAGGTTGGGCAATCCTACTTCCGTAGTGATACTGCCTCGGAAACCCAAGGAGGGGTCGCTATGAGTCGGGGCCGACTCGACGGCACATAACAACAACAACTTTAGGTTGAGCTGTTCCCACCAGATCTGAGAGCAAGCAGCTGCACATCATGTTCCACATGCTTGGAGGAGACATGTTCTTTCCATGTTCTCTTACAGCTGGTTCAAAGAATTACATCAAGACACATATCGAATGGGGACAACCTTCCTTTGGGAATGTGGGAACTGCTATGAAGGTAACCACAGAAATCTCTTACACAATTCTGAACTTTTAAAAGGTTAGGATCATGGCTCTTGGAGAATCTCGAACAGTCTCCATGGGAAAGGAGACTTATATGTACCCTCTGTGTCTCTGAGAAGAGGGTCACAGATGCCTGACTTCCACCCCCATCCATGCCTGTTAAGAAACTAGACTTTTCCCTCAGTGAAAAATTGTCCTTTAAACATCTGCCTGTCCCATGGCTTCCAGCTAAACAATAGACAGACATACAGGGTGAACATTTACATCAGATAGATACACTCCTTAGAATGATCACTTAGAATGATTAATCATGGGAGAACAGAAGGGCAGTGATTGCATGAGGAGATAGCTCAGGGGGCAGGAATACATAGGGAAAAGGACACAGGGAGGAGGTAACTATGGGGAGGAAGTGGGAAGAGAGCTGTTACACTGTGGGGAATTGCAGTCAATGTCATGAAACAAAATATGTGTGAACTGCTGTATGGAAAATGAATTTGCTCTGTAAACTTCACCCAAATCACAATACAAATTTAAAAAAAAAAATCTATTTGTTGAAAAAACTCACCAAAACACAATTGTAAACTTGACAATGGACATGAACTAATCAAAGCAGCAGTAATAGCCATGAAGGAGAAATAAATGCTGGTTTTCACTAGTAATCAAAGAAATTACAAGTGCAAATTTTCACCTGTCACATTAGCTAAGATTTTTTTTTTTTTTTTTTTTTAAATAACTTTGTTGCTGGAGAGGGTGATGTAAGGGAGAGACATTCCTATACAGCTGGTGTGTGTGAGGTGATACAAATATTTTATAGTACTTGGCAAAATGTTGTAAGAGCAATACAGATGCTTAACATAGTAATTATTGTCCTAGGAATCTAACGAAATCATCCAAGAGAAAGAAAAGAAACACATCCTCCAAAATACCTCCATTGTTATTGAAAACAATATATTTAAATACCCCCAAACAGGGGTCAGCTAAGGCAAGTCTATCCCCTATCCATCAGGGACCTTGCTAGGTCTTGTGTTTTTGTATTTCTTATTTCATAAGCAAATCCTGCTCTGGAACAGTGGAGAGAATCCAAGATCTGCAGTAAGTAGACCTGGACTGGGTCCCCACTGTGCCCTGCAGAGAAGTCACTTAGCCTCTGAGCCTGAACTGGTGTATGTCCTGCTGTGTATGTTTTCAACAACAGAAATAAATTATTTAAAATATGGGCATAGAAATGCCCACTCTACTTCCTGAGAAAACCAAATCAGACACCAATCAGGATCCTTCCACAGGGACCAAGTGGGTTCTCTGAAGCACATGTGAATGAGAAAATCTCTACAGACATTCGTAGACTTGGGCCAATTCATTAGGCACAAGGGGCATTTGCAGTCTCCCCTACCCGCCTGTTTTAATGCCATCTGCCTGACCCACACGGTGATAGCACCATATCCTCAGTCAGCCTTGCTCATCACTCTATATATACTGTAATGAGTCCTTTACCAGTTAGAGGCCAAAACTTGTGCTTCATTTCCATTAACCTTTTCAGAGGAAAAGAGCTCCATTTGCCTGTATTCAAACTGCCCCATTGTCACATCTTAGGAAGCACCAAAAGCTATATTTTGCCTTCTGTTGGCATGCAAGTGAAGAAAGAATAAGTGGCAAGGGTTTAGCTGGCCAAAAAATGGAAGCTGTAGGAAGTTACAATTACTTTTGACCAAGCAGGACCATCAATCCTACCCTAACTGGCCTGAGCATAGTGGCTAAGACACTTGCCTGCTAACCAGACAGCTGGCGGTTCAAACCCACCAGCCACTCCTCGGAAGGAAGGTTGGGCAATCCTACTTCCGTAGTGATACTGCCTCGGAAACCCAAGGAGGGGTCGCTATGAGTCGGGGCCGACTCGACGGCACATAACAACAACAACAACAACACAGCAGGTAGGCTTAGAGCTAGAGCCTGCAGGCCATTAAGCCCTGACTGTGTGCCAGGCACCTTGCTAAGCCCATCCATACATGATCGGGTTTAACTGTGGTGTTGTTGTTGTTGTTGTTGTTGTTATTTGCCATCGAGTCGGCCCCGACTCATAGCAACCCCTCCTTGGGTTTCCGAGGCAGTATCACTACAGAGACTATTATTAACCCTGCTATGACAATAAATAAGCTGAGGTCCAGGGAGTGTAATTAACTGTATGTGATCCCAACCCCCTTGACTGGGTCTGCTTCTAGGGGCCCCAGCAATGACAAGACATGTTCTCATCAAACAACAGGCCTCCTACCTTCGGAATTCATTCCGGTCTCCTGCCTGCATGAGTGCAACGATGGTGTTGGTGATGGAGGTTCCAATGTTGGCCCCCATGATGATAGGGATGGCAGCCCGCACGGTCAACACTAGAGGGTGGAAGAGAAGAGCAAGTTCAGGAAGAAGGGCAGTGGTGACTGAGGGGTAGAATTCTTGCCTTCTACGTGGATGGCGTGAGTGTGAGACCTGCCCAATGCACCTCACACACAGGCATCACCTATCTGTCAGTGGAGGCCTGGGTGCTGCTATGACGCTCAACAGGCTTCAGCAAAGCTTCCAGAAGCCAGATCAGAAGGAAAGGCTTGGCAATCTAGTTCCAGATGAAACCCTATGGATTACAGCAGGCTGATCCTCTTGTGCACAAGTTGGGAACCGCCTTAACAGCAGCTACAAATGGCCACAGGCTCATGAGAGCAGCCTGGCTGTACTGCTGATAGCTGTGGGCCCAAGGCAGGGCCAAGCTTCTTCAACCTGGTCATCCTTCAAAGCAGCTGTTCTTACCTATTCAGGGTTATGAACCCCATTGGGAGTCTGATGAAAAGCCAGCATGACTCACTATAGAAATATGCACATGTGCCACCAAAAAAAATAAATAATAATAATAAAATCTGACAGTCTGAGAATTCACAGATTCCCTGAACCTTTCTTTGGACCCCAGTTTAAAATGTCTTTCTAAAAGTCCTCTCTTTCTATTTAGATGCCCACCAGTTCATTCACTAGTTAATGTTGGCCGAAATGTTGCTATTGCTAACATTAGAGACCTGGCCAAAGATAGTCAGAGAAGAATAGGAAACTGAGAAAGAGAAGGTGTTTGGGTTGTGGTTGTGTGTCAACTTGGCTGGGCCTGGTTGAGTGGCTGGGCAGCCGGATGTAGTTACTCCTCATGATGAGACTGCTAACTGGTAAACTCCATGGTGGAATCTACTAGAGCAGCTGAGTAGTGGCTTTAGGGATGTGGGCTGCTTCTAGTATGTAAGCAGTCTGCCATGCCCTGCTGATCTTGGGGGCTTTTTCTAGACTTCAATTGTTGTTGTTATGTGCCATTGAGTCAGACCCAACTCATAGTGACCACTCCTTGGGTTTCCAAGGTGGTATCACTACGGAAGTAGATTGCCTAATCTTCCTTCCGAGGAGTGGCTGGTGGGTTTGAACTGCCAGTCTTCTGGTAAGCAGTCAAGTGCCTTAGGTACTACACCACCAGAACTCCTAGACTTGAATTAGTGGCCTGCAATGTTGTTTGGTAACATTGGGACTGTGCCTTTTTACTTGTCAATGTTGGGCTTGTCAGCCTCAGCAGCTAGTAGCTGCCTGAGTGAAGAAAAGCCTCCAGCTTCAGTGGGCTGGGAGCAAGAGGCAGAGCTGAAGCCCAAGGTTGAAGGGCTTTCACCAAGCCCCCAGAGCCTGGCACTTTGAACTCAGACTTCTAGCATCCAAAATTATAAGAGAATAAACTCCTGTTTGTTCAAGCCATTCCATTTATCGTATCTTCTGTTAAAGACGGACAAAATAATCAAAACAGGCTTATTATCTTCCTAGGTACCCAGCACCTTCCCACTTCCATAGGAAAATGCTACCTTGAGGCAAAAATGTGGATCCACTACTTAATTTACAAGTTAGTTCCCTGGTGGGCAAAATGCGCGTTTGCTTAGGTTATTGTGGAAATAGTTTTCCATTAGAGACCTGGTGAAAGATGTTCAGAAAAAGAGTAAGAAATTGACAAGGAATTTGGGGCTATTTCCCATGGAAGCAGCCCATTCCTTCTTGCTCCAAGAAGATCAGTGGGCTGTGACTCTAGTCTGAAAAGAAGGCTCAACTGGGAAGAAATTAAAATGCCAAATAACCCAAAGTGGCTGAAAATTATTCAGTGCATACTGGTCTACCTTAGAAGAACCTATGCCTCCTTAGTTGGAACAAACATCAGTTTGAAATGCCATGTCCTCAACCTCAGTTGTCCTAAAGCCAATGTGTTAATGTGATTAGATGTCTTTATTCTTAGTACTGATAAGTGGTGTCGATTAGAACTTTCTGTGATGATAGATTCTATGTGGCTATTAAGCACTTAAAATGTAGCTAGTATGTAGCATAGTGCCTAAGGCACTTGACTGCTAACCAGAAGGCTGATGGTTCAAACCCACCAGCCGCTCCTTGGAAGGAAGATGGGGTAATCTACTTCCATAGTGATACTGCCTCGGAAACCCAAGGAGGGGTCACTATGAGTCGGGTCCGACTTGACAGCACATAACAACAACACAACAGTATAACTGAGGAACATTAGATATTTTAAATTTAAATTGATCAAAATTAAAAAAAAAAATAAGACACATGTGGCTAGTGGCTAGTGGACTGCATATGCAGTTCTAAAGAATTCAGAACTAAGTCCTCAAGGACTGGGGTCAGGCTCAATGAATCATTAAAACTGAAACAGGAGGTGATCTGGGATCAAGGGTGGAGCTTATCATAGCTGGCACATAATAGTGACAAGGCCTGGAATAAATTCCAGGCTTTCCAGATAGGCAGGGAAGTGCCTGAAACATGGGTTACCAGCTTTTAGAAACATGGGTTCATGGGTCCCCAGACTCACGTGAGGAGGCCACCATGCTGACAATGATGGATGAGGAAGTACTGGAACTCTGCACCATGACGGTCACCAGAACCCCAATCACCAGCCCTGCCACAGGGTTGGACAGCATGGAGTTGTCACTGAAGAATTTCCCAGCCACCTTTCCTGGAAAACAAACCCAAACACATGACAGTTGGTTCAGTGTAGACTCTGGGTCAATACGTCTCCACCCAAAGCCAGAAGGCTATGTGTTTGGGAGCCCAGTCTCCAACCCTATGGAATCTTCCTCCCATGTTTTTTTCTCAATTCTGCCCAGCTGCCACAAGAAACCCAGCCTGCTGGCTGGTCCTCCCATGCCCTTCCATCTTTACATCTCTGGCCTAGCTCCCCACCCACTACTGTTCTTCTCCAGCCTTCTCTGATCATGGACCTGGCATAATTCTGCACTTGGTTTGGGGGATGCCAGTGAGCCTCCTGATTCCCTCATTCCTTTTTTGTCTCTGCAATGGAGTCCCAACTCAGAAGATTTATCTTCTAGGCATGAATCTGAGTGAATTTCTTCTTAGTCTTCTCCTTTTCCCCAACCACCTCCAGCCCCAGGAAACCTAAGTTCATAATAAAAACCTATTGGCTAAATCACATGCCTGCTAGCAAAAAGGTCAGCAGTTTGAACTCATCCACCACCCTGTGGGAGGAAGATGTGGCAGTCTGCTCCTGTGAAGATTTATACCTTGGACACCCTATGTGGCAGAGCTCTACTCTGTCCTATAGGGTCATTAGGAATCAGAAGTGACTAGAAGGCAAGGGACTTTTGATTATGGTTTGCTCTGAAGACCATCAGAAAGACCATCAAGTCCATTCCTTTGATTTTATAAAGAAAACTGAGGCAAAGAGAGGTAGTATGATTTCCCTATTATAGTTATTCCAGGGTGGAGTGAAGACCCTTGCTAATG